GAGGAGTGGCTGGTGGGTTTGAACTGCCAGCCGTCTGGTTAGCAGGCAAGTGTCTTAGCCACTATGCTACCAGAGCTCCCATTATATGAGACATCAAATACTTCCTTGTTGTTGTTGTTATGTGCCGTTGAGTTGGACCCGACTCATAGTGACCCCTCCTTGTGTTTCCGAGGCAGTATCACAATGGAAGTAGATCGTCCCATCTTTCTTCCGAGGAGTGGCTGGTGGGTTTGAAACGCCAGCCTTCTGGTTAGCAGTAGTGTATGTGCCTTAGGCACTACGCTACCAGAGCTCCTATAGTACTAAGTAAAATACTTGGTAAATAAGTATTTTAAGTTCAGTCTCTTATGTAAACAATAACTTACATAAATGTGTTGAGTATGCCTGGATACACATAATATTTGACTATGTGTCTATGTAGAATTAAACTTAAGTTACTGAGAAAATTTCATTATAGGCTCCAAATTTTCTGAATAAAGTACATTCTTATACTCAGCCATGATGTATTGTATTAAATTTTTATGGCTAAAGATATGAAGAGTGGTATATTTTCATTTATGTCTTTGCTATTATTTGATTGTATTTTATTGTATAATATGATGGTATAATTAACTGCATCTCCCAGGAGTTTTGAGAGGGTCTTGCTAGTTAACCACACATTTAACATGCCTCAGGACTAATTAATCAGGAGCAATAATACAATTAGTTTTAGGTAATTTGATGCCCTGTATCAAATAACCTTGATATTATGCACACATAATGTACACTGTTTTGTTTTAAAAAAAGATGGGTTTTAATGAAAGTAATTTAAAACCTACCTTTGAAGGATGAAAATGTTGCTTTAAATCCCTTTTCTGTGAATGTATCTGCATTCATGAGATTACATTCCAAATGCAAACTTTAAAAATGGTTCAAGAAGAGTAACATGAAATAAGTGCTGAGTGACTAAACTTTCTGAATGTTTAAAGAAATGTTTACTTATATATATCTTAAATGTATTTGGAGGCACATTTGTTTAAAAAGCTTTATAAATATGTAACACTGTCCTTAAATTTAACACAAATCACGTCAAGTTCAATAGTAGAAAAATGGTTACAGCTCTTGTTAAATTGTACTCATTATTATTTTATGAATAGTGTCAATTTTAAAGCCTGTTAAAGTCTTCTCAAGAATCCTTTATAAATGCATCTGGAGCCTGTGTTTTCTCTAAGCATTTAGGATTTGTGTTTAGAAATTTATGTAGCTAAATACCATGTAATACCATGTGTTATTTCAAGTATATGAAATGTTGGATTTATTTACTGTGGTTTCAAAAGCTATTACACCTATATAAAATGACTACTCTCTGCCACTAATAAGTTTTTAAGGTGAATAATTAGAGATGAAGGTTGAATTCATAGCTAAAGCTGGGTGATTTCATTTTAGTCAAATAGAATAAGAAAAAAAGTAGAGCTTTTGGAGTTCTATAATGTGGGTAGTTTTTTTTTTTTTAATAGTTAAAATGAAATTTTTAAGTAAAGCCTTAGTCCATTGTTTATTTTGAGTGAAGATTTAGTACCTGAAGGTTTTGGATCTGTTATTTCCATACAGTATAATGTACTTTCAAAAACTCACTGGTTCTTTTGCTGTTGTTTCTCTAGAAGAATATAGCTGAGAACAGGACTCTGCCTGTCAAAACAGTTGGCATGCACTTATCCCAAGCAGTGAAAGCTGGCTACCCACTTGACATGGAGCGAGCAGGCCTGACTCCAGAGGTTCAGAAGATTATTACTGATGTTATCCGAAACCCTCCCATCAACTCAGGTGATAAGTGTGGCCCTAGTCTGCAGCCTTAATGACTTGAGTCATTGAACCTAGATGAAGTAAACAAGCAATCCATTAATACTTTTCCTTGAATAGGCTTAACCCTTCATAGTACATTGAAATCCTTAATTTTGATATGCTTTTTTTTAAAAACTGTTGTGGTTGTTTTTATGTGCCGTGGAGTCAGACCTGACTCATAGCAACCCCTCCTTGGGTTTCTGAAGCAGTATCACTAAGGAAGTGAATTGCCCCATCTTCCTTCCGGGGAGTGGCTGGTGGTCTTAAACCGCCAGCCTTCTGGTTAGCAGTCAGATGCCTTAGGCACTATGCTACCAGAGCTCCCTGAATAAACTAAATTTGCTTAATTATATTCAGCTTAAAATCTTTACATGTTTAGTATCTTGAAGTACCTTCTGCTTTCAGACTTTAGCAGTTTCAATTTCTGATGCTCAATAACTTTTTTAATTATAAAATATTAAAACCAAGTGGAATATAAGCAAAATTATAATTGTACAGTATGACTCTACAATGATATGAAAAACATTTGGTAATCATTAGTGACTAAACAAGAAGCCCTAGTGGTACAGTGCTTAAAGTGCCTGGCTACTAACCTGAAGTTTGGCAGTTTGAACCCACCAGCCACACCTAGGGAAAAAGATGTGGCAATTTGCTGCCATTGAGATTTACAGCCTTGGAAACTCTACAGGGCAGTTCAGCTCCGTCCTATAGGGTCACTATGAGTCAGAATCAACTCAACAGCAATAGATTTTTGGGTTTAGTAACTAAACATTAGTTGAAAACATATGACTTTGCTATCATACAGAATATTGCATTAAATAAATTTTTATTTAGCCAAAACCAAACCAAACTGCTGTCAAGTCGATTGTGACTCACAGGGACCCCTCTTTGGGTTTCTGAGGTGGTATCTCTACAGAAGTAGATGACTTGCCCAGTCTTCCTTCTGAGGAGTGGATGGTGGGTTTGAACCGCTAGCCCTTCTGGTTAGCAGTCAAATGCCTTAGGCAGTACGCCACCAGAGCGCCAATAGGTATTAAATTGAAATTCCAGAACACAGTAGAGTTCACTTTTAAAGTTATTTTGTCTGTCAATATACTCTATGTAGATAGTACATATAATACGAAAAAGTAGGTTATTCTAGCCTACTTTCAAAGCCAAAAACAAAGGAACTTAAGAAAGTTGTTACAACCACATGCTCCAAATTTTGTTTCTTTTGATAGTATAATTATCATCTATAAGATATTATCTATTGATGTGAGATTTTGCTTTTGGGTTCTTGTTTTCCTTTAATAAAATGCCATTATATTTGCTGTCTTATTGGAGAAAGCATTATTGATAATAGTACATTAATGATAACAAGATATGAAGATGTATATGCTATATTAATTACTCAGGTTTTAAAATTTTAACTACAGGCAGAGCACATAATTATGTTTTTAGGAACAACTTTGAAATGTAAATTTTATATAGTTCTGAGTTGATGAATTTTCTATATTATAAAATCTTAATGTCTAAAAAGGGTGCAAATTTTAAAAAATACCTATGATTTTCAGGTTTACTTGTTAAATAGATTTTTCCTTGTGACTCTTAACATTAAAAGAATTCAGTGCCTGTTTATCCTTTTAGTATTCTAGTTTATCTTTTTTCCCATGTTTGTATCATTTTAAGCTTCTTTTATGGGTTGAGATTCTAGGAAGGTGTTTATTGAGGTGTCTAGATAGTATTTTTAATAATTTCATTCTCCCAGTCTTTATGTACATATAACTAGAAAATTAAGAGTGGCTTCCAAGGGACCTTCCACAAAAGTAGGGGTAATATGATCTCTCTTAAAACACTCAGGGAGAGTAGCCAGTGTTTGTCTTTTAATTCTACAGTTTATGTTTGCAGCACTGGTTTGCATGGCAAGTTAGGACAGAATAAATTATATTTTTAAAGCTAGATGAGAGTTATTCACATATGTGTGACTTAGGTTAACTTTAAGGTAAAAGTATAAAGGGTAGTTTAGAAATATATAAATAAATACAAGAATTTTCTAGTGATACATAGAAATTATATTTTAATTACATTATAGTAGCTTTATCCATTTATTAAATCCACAGTAGGTTAACACCATAGGCAAATGTTTATACACCATAATTGTATACAAAAGACATTCTAATTTTAGAAGTAGCTAGATTCAAAATGGAATAAAGTACATCAGACATATTTTCTTCTTAACATAATTATTTAGCCCATGATACTACTATAATTCAAGATTTTATGGATTTTCTAATAAGTTGGCCTGTAAATACTATATTTACAGTGTGATAAAATTTAAAAAGTATAGTTTACTTACCCAATTTTAAATACCCATAGAAGAAATTGAATTTAATACAACACAGTTGTTTTAGTTTCCTAGAGTATGGAAAAATTTGTATACTTTTTCTTTAACAGCACTTTACAACAGAAATATAATGAAAGTCACATACACAATTTAAAATTTTCTAGTAGTGATATTAAAAGTAATAAAAAATATATGTAGTTAATTTTAGTAATATTTAACATGGAACCACTGTAAAAAGATACTTTAGTATTTTTTTTTGTACTAAGTCTTCAAAATTGGTAAGTATTTTATGTTTACAGCAGATCTCAATTTGGATGCTAAATTTCAATTTGAAATACTTGATTTGTATTTAGAGTTCATAAAATTTACAGTTGAAAAAAAAATAAGGTATTCAACCCCAAGTTGTTGTAAATATATATAAAAATTTTCCAATAATTGAATCTAGCATAATTTTTTAAAATTTAATTTTAAATTACATAAAATTAAAAATTTGGTTCCTCAGTCACATTAGCCACATTTCAAGTGCTCAGTAACTGCAGGTGGTTAGTGGTTACTGTTTTGGTTAGCATAATTTTGGAGATAGTTTAGTACAGTATAGATCAAAATATAAAATATATCTAACTTTGGACTAGCAATCCCACTTCTAGGGATCTGGAAGTATGGAAAGATACATGATGTAATATGGTGTTCAACAGAGCATTTTATTTCAATTAAATATTGAAGACAAATGAAAGGGTAAATTCTGGTGTGTATATATATATGACAGAGAACTCTTCAGCCATAAAAAAAGATGAAGTAGTGAAATTGGTAGAATTTCAGTTGTGTTAGGATGCTATGATGATAACCTTTGGTGGTGCAAATGGTTCATGTCTTCTGCTGCCAACTGAACAGTTGGAGGTTCAAGTCCTTCCAGAAGCTCCTCAGAAGAAAGGCCTGGCAATCTACATCTGAAAAATCAGCCATTGAAAACCCTATGGAGCACAGTTCTAATATGGCACACATGAGTTTGTCATGAGTCAAAATCAACTCTGTCGCAACTGATGATGGTGGTGAAATGACCAAGGGACAAATACAATTTTAATCTGATTGACAGATAAAATAGTCACATTGCTTTTTAAAATTATATAGAGAGGTAATCTTGTCTTTGCAAGACTTTTATTAGCACCAACCTTACAATTTAAAACTTACAGTTTTATTTTATAGTTCAGGGAAAGAGTGTATGCTACTTGGTTAGATAGCTTACTGTCCTAATTCCTATTAGTTGTGTAACCTTTTCTTCCTGACATTTTCTTTTTTTTTTTTTTTTTAAACTGCAGTATTTTTAGGAAGTCCTGGAGTAATAAGGTAAAGTCCTTGGAAGAAAGAAGTCATATAAACCTGAAAAATAATAAAGACCACCTTTTCAGGTGGCATTTGAAAATATGTGGTCTCTGATTGGTAATTTGAATTAAGTATCATAAATCTTTGATAATAGTTTCATAAACTGCATGAAGATGAGGGAATAGTTTCTAAGCTGCTTAGTTTTACCTTACTATAGAGCATTGCAGATAAATGTGTTACTGAAAGGAAGCATTTGAAACATAATAGTAGTTGATAGTGAGATTGCTGCATTATTTATAGAAGGTGTGAAGAAACTGACAACAGTTGAAATCAATTCCTTGACTTATAAAAAACTAAAAGTTCCACGATTCTGAAAATAAAACATATCTTTCCCAGAAATGCACACTAGTTAATATGCATTTTAAATAATTGATGTCTTTCGTCATGCTCGAATAACCATTGAAAGGATCCTTTCTCCTAGCATTTTTTACAAGCTTCTATTTTAAGAATTATTTTCAAAATTTTCATTTATAATTTGTAATTTGAAGCACAATTTTCCTTTAAAAAAATTCTGTGAATGATTGTTCTTATTGTCAGAGCAACCTACAAAAGACAGTTTGAAACATAATTTATTCAAAGTCAGTAGTGAAGGAGTGAGGGGATACTTTTTCACTCGATTTTATACTTTGGCACTGTAGGCATTTGGAAGATGGGGAAATTTCTTTCCTACAGGGAGTTCTGGTGGTGTAGTGCCTAAGGCATTTGCCTGCTAACCAGAAGGCTGGTGATTCTAACCCACCAGCCACTCCTCGGAAGGAAGATGGGGCACAGTTTCCAAGTCATAAACTTTTTAAAATGTTCTTCATATTTATTTCAAAAGTTGTTTTTTTTTTTTTCATCTTTACAGATAGGAATAAAATTAAACTAATTAGAACGTTAGTTCCTGCAAACATTGACACATACCTTATCCACATGGCAATTGAGATCCTGGGAAAAGATGAAGACAGCAGACTACTATGCCAACTTTCATGTGATTCCAACAAAAAGAGATGTTTTGCAACCTCTCAAGAGAGCTGTTTAAGTTCCAAGAGAATCAAGGAAGAAGATACTGATACCAAGGTGTTAATTATATGTAGAATTTTTATAAAGTGTTGGTTTTTCAATTTGCATATTCTGATACTAGATCACTTCATTTTTTAAAATGTTACACATTCTGTAAGTTTCTTTATTAGTGTGCTGGATATTCTTTGCTTTTCATAAATCTGATCTGAGAAAGGTGATTATTTTAAAGTCAGTAAAGGGAAAATATCCATTTATTTAGCTTAATTAATGTGGAATGTTAAATTTTACTCCTGCCTGTCATATCTACTGTATATATCACCTGGCATTCTTTTCTCTTTCAGACATGTGGATAATACTGGCTTTAAGCATGTGATAGTGTGTAAATGATGAAAATGAAAATAAATTCTGATACTCCCCAAATTTATTTGTGTATAACAACAACACAATGCACTGCTGTTGAGTCAGATCCAACTCATAGTGACCCCTCCTTGGGTTTCCAAGGTGGTATCACTACAGAAGTAGATCGCCCAATCTTCCTTCCAAGGAGTTGTATAGTTTTGCCATTTATGTTCTGTGACATTACATTGACTATCTAGAGTACTATGATCGTTGCTACTCCTTTGTTGTTGTTGTTAGGTGCCGTCAGGTTGGGTCCAACTCATAATGACCTTGTGTACAGCAAAATGAAACACTGCCCAGTCCTGTGCCATCCTCACAATCCTTGCTCTACTTGAGCTCATCGTTGCAGCCACTGTGTCAATCCATCATGTTGAGGGCCTTCCCCTTTTTTACTGACCCTCTACTTTACCAAGCATGATATACTTCTCCAAAGAATAGTTCTTCCTGACTCCATGACCAAAGCAGGTGAGATGAAGTCTGGCCATTCTCACTTCCAAGGAGCATTCTGACTGCACTTCGTCCAACAAAAGATTTGTTCATTCTTCTGGCAGTCCATGGTATTTTCAGTATTCTTTGCCAACACCACAATTCAAAGGCATCAGCTCTCCTTTGGTTTTCCTCATTCATTGTCCAGCATTCACATGCGTATGAGGTGATTGACAAAGACCATGGCTTGGGTCAAGTGCACCTTAGTCTTCTAAGTGACATCTTGGCTCAACCCTTTAGAGAGGTCTTTTGTAACATATTTTCCCAGTGCAATACAGTGTCTGATTTCTTGACTGCTGCTTCCATGGGTGTTGATTGTGGATCTAAGTGAAATGAAATCCCTGACAACTTCAATCTTTTTTCCGTTTATTGTGATGTTGATTACTGGTCCAGTTGTGATGCTTTTTGTTTTCTTTATGTTGAGGTGTGATCTATACTGTAGTATTTGGTCTTCGTCAGTAAATGCTTCAAGTCATCTTCATTATCAGCACACAAGGTTGTGTCATCTTCATATCATAGAGTGTTAAGGAGTCTTCCTCCAATCCTGATACTTCATTCTTCATATTTTCTAGATTTTCAGATTATTTTCTCAGCATACATATTGAATAAATATGGTGATAGGATACAACCTTGATGCACACCCTTCCTGATTTTAAACCATGCGGTATCTGTTTGTTCTATTTGTATGACAGTTCTATTTGTATGTACAGGTTCCTCTTGACCACAATTAAAAGTTCTGGAATTTTCATTCTTCACAATGTTAGCCATAATTTGTTATGATTCACATAGTCAAATCCCTTTGAATAGTCAGTAAAACACAAGTAAACATCTTTCTGGTATTTTTGCTTTGAGCCAGGATCCATCGGACATCTACAATGATATCTCTCCTTCCACATCCTATTCTGAATGCAGCTTGAATTTATAGAAGTTCCTATTAATATACTGCCACAGCTGTTTTTGTATTCTCTTCAGCAGAATTTTACTTGTGTGTGATATTAATGGTCTTGTTCAATAATTTCCACCTCCTGTTGGATCACCTTTCTTTGGAATAGGCACAAATATGGATCTCTTCCAGTCAGTTGGCCAACTAGCTGTCTTACAGATTTCTTGGCATAAATGAATAAGTACCATTAGGGCTGCATCTATTTGTCAAAGCATCTCAGTGGGTATTCTGTCAATTTCTGGAGCCTTGTTTTTCACCACTCCCTTCAGTGCAGCTTGGACTTCTTCCTTCAGTACTCTTTGTTCTTGATCATATGCTCCCTCCTGAAATAGTTGATCATCGACCATTTCTTTTTAGTACAGTAACTCTGTGTATTACTTCCATCTTTTTTTTTTTTTTTATTGTGATTTGGGTGAAGATTTACAGAACAAATTCATTTTCCACATAGCAGTTTACATATACTTTGTCTCATGACATTGACCACAGTTTACCATAATGCAACAGCTTCCCTCCCATTTCTTCCCCATAGTTACCTCTTCCCAGTGTCCATCCCTCAATGCACTCCTGCCCCTGAGCCGTTTCCCTGTGCATAGGCAGCCCTTCTTTCTCAATGATTGTTCTCTCCAAGGAGTGTATCTACCTCAGGTAAATGTTCAATTCATATGCCTGTCTTCTGTTCGGCTGGAAACCACAGGTGTGGCTTCAGTTCCAGACCTGAAGG